GATGATGATGATGAAGAAAATAGGAATTTCGTCAGTGGTGTCGAAGTTGAGAAATCTTCTTGACTATTTATAGAAGGAGGAGGAGGTTTGCTTGACTTGCCATCCAGTCGAGTGGAAAGTGTTATTAGAAAACAGATAGAAATGTTCTTGTTTTTTTGAAGTGGTGCTGTTATTTGTTTTGTGACGTTTAAGTGCCGTTATAGAATTGGTGCAGAACAAGCTATTTTTGTCCCATGTTTGGCTGTGAATTGGGTGGGAAAAAAGTACCTGGAGTTATTCCTCAAAGATAGTATATTTGACGTATTGATTTTGCACTGTCAACTAATGAAGAATTTTTTGCAAATTGGATGCTCTGATCTGCCTATCAATAATTTTAGTAATATTCAGAATTTATCATTTATGAATTCTGAGGGTGGAATCGAAGCATATTATGCCATAGATCTCCCGTGTGGCTTCACCCCCTTGGCTGTGGCACTGGCATGAGATTAGCTTCATATAGCTTAGTATGCCACTTAAATCTTGGTGTTAAAGTTGTAATAAGTCAGATACCGGTACTTGGCATAAGTCTTGCCAGCTGGTAACTAGGCACGAAGACCTGGCTATTGTGACTTTCTTATGTTTTGCGTTTCATACACTTTTCTGTCTTGAGAAAGTGTAAGCTAATATTTTTTTGGATAGATTCGATATTACAAGTGAAAAGAAGTGAAACTGAAATGATGCTATTTCATGTTGTTAAGATAGGGAATGTGGATATATTAGTAAAAGTATTGATGCATCTAATGTAGGGATATTTACAATACATGTTTTCTTTAATCACTTCTGACATTACAAATGATAGTACATGGTTTATTATAAGGACTGAATTCTCATAAACATTGAAGAAGCAATATTACTTTGACATTTGTAGTGAAACAAACAAATCAGGTGAAGTGAAGTATGTGTTTGCATTATACAGCTTTTCTGAGGAATGTTATGCATTTTGTTTATATTAGAACCATTACCTCTGTTCTATTTCGACAAAAAGACCAAAAGACATTTCTGTAAGCTAAGATGATAGACTTATCTTTTAATAAAAATTTGCCTAATAGGGAAAGCGTTATTCATGAAATCCACTAATGGTAATAACAATATTATTATCGATAAGTACATTTAGTGTGAATGATGTGTGATACTACATTATTACTCCCAAAATATTAAATTTTAGTTAAGATATGGAAGATGATAAAAAAACAGAATCTATGAATAACTAATGGTAACTTTTTAGAAGATACCTGAACGTCCCCCATTGTCCTAAAGCCAATTGGTGTCGACTCTATTCTGTCAGTCTTCTAGAAAAAGAAACAACAAAATTCCATCACGTTTATTCTTGCCAGATAGTGCTAGCAGACTTCCTATGGTTTTTCATCAAAAAACCATTTATAGCTCAGTTTTGACAGAATATGTTGGGTTTATGATGGTGGGCATTTTGGTGAAGTGTAGAGCATAAAAGCCATGGCATTTAATTGACACCGTGCCACTGTCATGCTAAACCTTAGATATCAAGTCAATTTAGACAGAACACAGCCAGTTTGTTCAAATATTTTTATAACTGTTGAAGCAAACTCGGCAGTATCACAGATATTTTAGTATTTATTGAATTGTTCCATATATATCATCATCATTCTTGTGGTAACTTTATATTGTAGAAATTCTAAAAGTAAAACCATAATTCTAAACTACAGGAAATAAAAGTCATATCTTCATTCAGGCTTTTCAGAATAGGAGCTGTCAAGCAATAAAATCAAAATGGGACGCATATTTCTGGAACACATAGGAGGAACACGGTTGTTTTCTTGCGCGACCTGCTACACTGTTCTCACAAATCGCACGGAACTGATTTCCACTCGCTTCACGGGAGCAACAGGACGAGCTTTCCTCTTCAAGCGCGTGGTGAATTTGACGTACAGGTGAGGAAGTGGGATAGATTGCAGGACATAAAATGTATTGTGTGTGGAGGATTTTGTGATTTATTTTATAAATTTTGCTTCCTGTCTGTCTTTCACTCTGTCTCAGTGTCACGGTCTGTCTTTCTGTCTCTTTAGTCTGTCATTTTTCTGTCTATCTGTGTCTCTCTTTTTCTCTGCTTCCCTGTCTCTCTCTCTCTCTCTCTCTCTCTCTCTCTCTCTCTCTCTCTCTCTCTCTCTCTCTCTCTCTCTCTCTCTCTCTCTCTCTCTCTCTCTCTTTCTCTCTTTCTTCCTCTCTCTCTTTCTCCCTCTCTCTCTTTCTCTTTCTCTCTCTTTCTCTCTCTCTCTCTTTCTCCCTCTCTCTCTTTCTCTTTCTCTTTCTCCCTCTCTTTCTCTTTCTCTTTCTCCCTCTCTTTCTCTTTCTCCCTCTCTCTCTTTCTCTCTTTCTCTCTCTCTCTCTCTCTTTCTCTCTCTTTCTCTCTCTTTCTTTCTCTCTCTTTCTCTCTCTTTCTTTCTCTCTCTCTCTCTCTCTCTCTCTCTCTCTCTCTCTCTCTCTCTCTCTCTCTCTCTCTCTCTCTCTCTCTCTCTCTCTCTCTCTTCTCTCTCTCTCTCTTCTCTCTCTCTCTCTCTCTCTTTCTTTCTCTCTCTCTCTCTCTCTCTCTCTCTCTCTCTCTCTCTCTCTCTTTCTTTCTTTCTTTCTTTCTTTTCCTCCTCCCTCCCCTCCTTTCTTCCCTTCCTCCATCTATATGTCTTCCTCTCTCTTTCCTTATTTCTCTTGCTTCCACACTACATATTCCCACGTCCTTCTCATCCTCCCTCGTTCCTTTCCCATAATTACCCAGTCTCATTACCTTCTCCTCTTTTTCTTGGACACTAATGCTCACAGAGAAAGGGATTACGTTAAGATCTTAGAAGCTTTTATGTTTTACAGCGAAGTGCAAGACAGAGTGATGTTGACTGGACGGCACATGGTTCGTGACGTTTCCTGTAAAAATTGCAGTGCGAAGCTTGGCTGGATATATGAATTTGCCACGGAAGACAACCAGAGGTAAAGTATATTCGTGACTTCTGATGTCTGTGGTATTTAGGAATATCCCAGTATGCAGATTTTTTTCAGGAGTGGTGGTGGCGAGGTGCTGTTGGTTTTATCACGTAAATGAAACCTTTGCTTTTGGTTTGCACTTGTCAAGGTCATAATGGTTGGATGGAAGTCATTGATGCAGGTGTTAAAAGATAGTATGTATAGTTGTTTCTTTTGTTCTTTTAAGTGGGTTAATTGATAGCACAGGTATTTATCTTACAGAGTGATGTCAGTCATAAAATACTATTTTCATCTTGTTTCTAAAAAGATAGAGCAGAAGATGAGAGACAAGAGTGAAAATAATCTTTTTGCTTGTCACTTCATTTAATAACAAGTCAGTTACAGACCTCTGTACATTTTCTATTTAAACATGTAATTTCAGGATACTAAGAAATAATGGCAACACAATTTTAGACCAATATAGAGACCAACAAGGGATTTTTATTCAACAAAAATGAATGATAGAATTCGTTTTTTTTTTTTGTTTTTTTTTTCCGCAGGTACAAGGAAGGCCGTGTCATTCTGGAGAGAGCCCTTGTCACGGAATCAGATGGTTTTGAGGAGCATATAGGACACGATTAAGGTGGTAACGCACACCGTCGCTCAATTATTCAGAACCCTCGACCAAACAGTCCCTTCGTGGGGAATAGATATAATCCTGTAAACTATTTAAGTATGCATGGCATAGGGTGTTGTTTCCTTTTTTTTTTTTCTTCGTCCCCTCCCCCCTGACTATATGAATATGGATATTACACGTGTTTCTCGATAACATGAATGCTTTTACTTAGCATTTGTATTTAGAACTAACCTTCTTAACAGTTTCAAGTATCTTTTTTTTTTTTCACTGTTTGATCTCACTGTCTATCTCCCTTCTCAGATTCATGATTTCTTTCATTTTCAGTTTTAGATTTTTTTTTTTTTTCTTCTTCTTTTTTCATATGATATGAACTGTAAAGAGTTCATTCCCAGTTTTAGCCCGAGTGATAGAGGTTGGAATATCCTAACACTCGGCGCTGACTGTTATTCCTGTGATATATTTAAGGATTGTAACAAAGATATAATGTTTTGTAGTTGCTTGTGTGCTTATATGTCATTTTTTTTTTTTTTTTTTTTCAAGTTAATTTTAAATAACCAGGCCATCCTTTCTTTAGTTCTTGTTCATTTAAAAAAAAATTTGGTTCTTTATTTTTAAAAAAAAAGGAAAGAAAGAACAAAAGAAACGGTGTTCTTCATTATATGTAGTTATGTTATTTGTTCATTTATTTCTGCATACTCTAAAAAAAAAAAAAAAAATAGATAAAAAGTATGTGAATAATGTTATAATAGGAAAGATAATATTTGAAACCTGTAAAAAATAGATTCTTATTTTTGACAGTGAAATCAGTCATTTGTTTTAATTAATAGATTCAAACCTTACACTATCTTGTATTTTGTGATAAAAAGTCCTTTAAAATGATACTCAGTGTACTATCACTTTATATAGCTGATTTAGGCATGAAAAAAAAAAGGAATTAGAAAGAACAAAAGAAACGGTGTTCTTCATTATATGTAGTTATGTTATTTGTTCATTTATTTCTGCATACTCTAAAAAAAAAATAAATAAATAAAAAGTATGTGAATAATGTTATAATAGGAAAGATAATATTTGAAACCTGTAAAAAATAGATTCTTATTTTTGACAGTGAAATCAGTCATTTGTTTTAATTAATAGATTCAAACCTTACACTATCTTGTATTTTGTGATAAAAAGTCCTTTAAAATGATACTCAGTGTACTATCACTTTATATAGCTGATTTAGGCATGAACGAATCATTACTCTTCAGGGAAATTTTTTTTTTTATGTTTAGATATCTCTCTTATGATCAACTAGTCTCTCAGAAGGAGTTCAATAATGATTAACAAAAAGCATAGCCTACCTTTTTTTGTTCCAAACGATATGAGGCCTTTTCTTCACAAAGTATGTTTAGCCTGAGCCTATTTTTTAATTTTGTTTTTGATGATAAAAGTTCAATAGATGAATCTAATGACTAGATGTGCAATGTATATCTCAAAAATGTTCACCGAATAGGCTAGCATTTCTGAATAGGCTAGTGTTTCTTCTGTATCGATACCAGAGTGTAGAATAGAGTATTTCAACTATAATCTTTCATCATCTGACAGTAGGATTATTTTGAGAATATATGTACTTTTATACTAAGCATAATTTATTAGTGTATCAGTGTATAGTGAAGGCATGATATTCACAGGTTATCTGTAAGTTAAAGTAGACAGGTTTGTGTTCTTTACCGTGCAGGAAATGTGAAGATTATTTTTTACGTATTTCTTTATTTAGAAATTTACTGGTGCATACGTTGACGTGTTATTATTTTAAGGGGTTTTATTGAAAAAAAAAAAAAAAGATTATATACATATAAAGATGATTTATAAGGCTTTTAGGTCCTTCAATGCTTTCTTTCATCCTAGCGGCCATAATTCTTGACTGATTAGTAAACATTACACAAGCTCACTTTTACTGCAAAATATGAATTCAGTCCATCCATCCATAACTCATTGTCTTTACCAAAGTAACTTTGTAATTGTGCTTTTTAAGTATTTGATACCAATGTCTTTCAGAATACAGCCATTCCTCAATTACGTATATTTCATGGTATTGGATTCTTCATTTTGTTGAGGTTTTTATATGATTCAATCCTCATCATTTTTATCTTAATGATTTTTTAATTAGTTATTTAACCGAGTAAAGAGAAACAGTAGGTTGTATTGATGCAAGTAAGTCTTAATAATAATGAAAGAAAAATTTTTGCTTTCATTAGTGAAAACCTGAAAGTTGTAGAAAAATCATATATGAAAAAGGGAAAATATTTCTTTTATTTATTATACTTTTATGTTTATTGTTCCTAAATAGATTTTTTTCTCTCTCTTTTTCAAGGATATTAATAATGCGTGTTATCTACTTATTATTATTTTTTTTTTCCAAATAACAAAGAAAATATTTGCTCAAACACTTTAACCTGGTCATCTTGTTTTTGTTAGGCCTTACAGTTATTAATATTTCTTTATTTATTTATATTTTTTTTTGGGTGTAAGACATCTTGCCTTCAGTTTAATAAAGTGTTGTATTACCATTGTTTTTATGAAAGTAATAGAAGAATGGATGTATAGTGTTTGTATCTCAATTTTGATAAAAGTATCTGGTGACAAAAAATAAAAAAAATAAAAAATCATCTGGTTGCTTTATCACTCTGTAGTTGATAGTAAATTATATCGATGCACCTGAACAAATAACCTCCTATAGTTCAAAATTCTGTCATCAGGGATATGAGAGCTTGCTTACTTTGAAAAAAGAAAAAAAAAACTTGGTCTGTCATAGGAAATTACTAAAAGCTCATAAGTTAAAGTTTGTTTCCTTTCCCTCCTTGCATGCAAATGAATTTGATCAAGAGAGAGAGAGAGACACACACACACACACACACACACACACACACACACACACACACACACACACACACACACACACACACACACACACACACACACACACACACACACATACATACATACATATGGGAAGTGAGCAAGTCAGGATTCTTAGTATAGTAGTGTACATTAAAAAAATATCCGTGACTGACTAGAGAGAAAGGATAAGAGGAAAAAATACTTATATCTCAGTTCTTTTCCTAACACTCCAGATTTTTCAACCCAAAAGTATTGATAAGGAATATGGAGTTAGGAAAACCTGTTTATACAGCAAAAAAAGGGAACATTCTACAAAATATGTAATTGTCCATTTGTAATAAAGTCTTAATGGGCTTCTGTAAAAGAAGCAGGTTTGAATAGAATTTTAATGGACAGCATCTGGGACTGAAGTTCAAGGTGGTTTGTGATTAGCCTCAGATCTCAATTACAAAGAAATTCTTTTACTCCGTCTTTTCCTGTCTTTATACGGGGTCGATGTCTTTGATTAGTTGCCTCGGACTTTCGGCTTCTCCCCTCAAGAGTCGCAACATCATAGTCTCGGCTTTATTTTTAGAGCTGGATGCCCTTCCTTCCGCCAACCCCCCCCTCCCCCATTCATCTGGGCTTGGGACCGGCTTGGTACATTCCACTGAATTGTGGACTCTGTAGCCAGTTTAGGTCAAGTTCCTTGCTTAGGGGAACAACACACCAGCGGGTAGCTTGAACTCTCAAACTCACCCACTGTGGTCTCTATCGCATTCTCAAAGAAATAAAAAGATTTAAGGAAAAAAAATCTCAAGACTATTAGCCTGTGATAAATTCCAACAGATTCAAGATATTTTTAATGAACTATAGCAATACATGAAAAGATATTTTTTAAAAATTTGATGCTTCTATTTTGTCATCAAATATAAAAAAATTTATGTTGACATGCCCTTTTTTTTCAAAATGAATTTCCAAGAGGCTTTTACACACATGATACCTATGAGAGCAAAATAAAATTCTGTAACACAGAAGTCATTTATGTCACAACCACACAAAAAGAAGATGTATTGGAAAAAGGTATATATATATATACATATATATATATATATATATATATATATATATATATATATATATATATATATATATATATATATATATATATATATATATATATATATAATGTAAGATTCTCCCACTGTTAGGATTTGTTGTCAATGCAGATAATCATAATTTTTACTTTTGATGATGTGGTGATTGGTGTGTGTTTGAGAGAGAGAGAGAGAGAGAGAGAGAGAGAGAGAGAGAGAGAGAGAGAGAGAGAGAGAGAGAGAGAGAGAGAGAGAGAGAGAGAGAGAGAGAGAGAGAGAGAGAGAAAGAAAAAGAAACAGAGAGAGAAAGAGAAACAGAGAAAGAAAGAGACAGACAGACAAAGAGACAGAAAAAGAGAGAGAAAAAGTGTGTGTGTGTGTGTGTGTGTGTGTGTGTGTGTGTGTGTGTGTGTGTGTGTGTGTGTGTGTGTGTGTGTGTGTGTGTGTGTGTGTGTGTGTGTGTGTGTGTGTGTGTGTGTCTAAGGAGGGATGAATATACTTTTTGTGTGTGAGTGACAGTGACAGTGTTAGAGAGAATGAGAGTGTGCATGTGTGTATGTGTGTGTGTGTCAGAGAGATTGAGAGAGGGGGAGAGGGAGAGGGAGAGAGTGAGTGAGTGTGTGTTTGTGTGTGCGTGCGAGCGAGAGCCACTCAACAAATAACACGATACGTATAAATCCAATGCTATGTCACTTAGCAACCCAGCAGGTATTAGGCAATTTTGGTCAGCAGTTATCACAAAGTCTGACTATGAATGCCACTCACTCAGTTATCTTCTATACACACATGCCACAGAAGACTACTGAAATTTCCTGACAGATGTGGTTCAAAATACTCATTTCCCACTGAAAAGGAAATGTATGTCAACAGTATCTCTCCAGATATTTCTACCCTCCTTAGAAAGTTTTTTTTTTTCATCTGTAGATTTAATTACATCAATTGCACACACACTCATATTAATTCATATATGAGACTCTCTTTTTCATCAATGTTTGAATCATTGTGTCCATGTTTCCCTCTCAGTAGAACAGGTGCTTGTCTCCAAAGGTATATTGTCAAAATTTTCCACCACAGGATTTGTTTCCATCTTGCTACTAAAACACCTGTCCTTTCTCACAGCCAGTTTGATAAGTAATCAAGTGTAGCTTTTAGTAATATGTCGAAGTTTTATCAACTTTGTCTTTTTATTTGTTAGTTGTCCTTTTCTCATTTTCATTGTCATTAATGCCATTTATTTAGAGCATATAATATCTTTTAACTTCTGTTTTGTCCTCATGCTGTTACTGTCTTCCAAATTTACATGTGTTTTTGATTATACTTCATCTATGCAACTGTGTATGCTTTATTTCTACCAGTATCTCTTGGATGAGTTTTTTTCATCCACAGTTTGCAGACCATATATTGAAATTGTTTATTTCTACTTTTATTTTACATTCTTTGAGAGAATTACCATTATTTCATCTCAGAAATTAACAAATAACCAAGTATTTCAAGAATTAATGTCCATTAGACATCCTTAAACTATTTCAGAATTAATATTAGAAAAAAAAAATCTTGATTAATAATCCATTTCAAATCTGTTCTCATTCTGTCATCTAAGTTCAGGTCCTTCTGGTGTGACCCTAAAGAAACGCTACCCAACATTCCATCTCCTTCTAAAATACATCCAATTAACAATTTTAAATCAGAACAGCTATAAACAAATCAAATTGGGCTTTTATAATGGAGAGTTCTATTTACTGAAATGCCTGTATGATGCTTATGTCTTATTCAACATAGATAATATATATTTTCTTTGCTATTATTTTTCCTTATGCCCTCCATACACTAACATATTTTATCATATACTGTAGTTACTTACTGATTTTATGAACAACTATTTAAATCATATGCATCAATACAGGATGGTTCTTCATTTGCTCACAAACTGTGCATTTTATCCAGTATTTAGTTCTGTAAGTCAGAATTCTCAACAATATGTGGAAAATAAAGAATTTGTATTTATTTGTATATAATAATATCTTGTATATATGAAATGCGTGGAACAGTTACAGCAAATGTAAGGATCCAGTAGAAAAAAATGCAAAAGAAATAGATGGTCACATCCAATTTCATTCATATACCTTCATAAAACAGTTCACAAAGGCACCATTAGTCTCACAGAGAAAAAAAAAAGGAAAAAAAAAAAAAAGAGTTCTTTTCACCTTTTTTAAATGGAGAAAATTGACGGACAGACACACACAACACACGTCTGTTACAGGACCTAGGAAGAAGACTTAGAAGAAATTTGTCGGAGCTTTGTACTTCAAGTTAGTGACTTTCAAACACACTTAAAAAAAAGGATTTGCTTACTAACGATGTAGCTTGTAAGTCCTATCATGCATGGGAAGACCCTATTCTCAAATATATTTCAAATTATATGATTTTTTCTTCAATAAGAGAACATAACATATAATTACATTTGATAATGTAACACACTACAGTAGAAAGAAAGAGATAAAAAATAATTTGGGGCTAAGAAAAAAAACGTTTAAAGAAAGACATAAAAACATTATTTCATATCACAATATCACTTATGGTTTAATCATAATGAAAGGGGTTATAAAGTAAGATAATTAACATCATACAATATATTTTCAGTTCTTTCATAAATAGTTATCAATCTGATACTATAGACATGACTTAGAAAGGTAATTATAATGAAGATAAACACTATAATAATAAATGCTTCGACAGGAAGGCATTTCCATCTTTCAGTCGTTAGATACTTTCAAAATGTTCATCAAATGTGACTCTTATATACAACTACTTTCGTTATAAAATACTATGTTAATAATCCCCCCCCGGAGAAGAGACTGCGGAGAGAAAACTACAAATCTGTTATCTGCATATATATCTTTTATCAAGGAATAAAAAGTGCTCGTGTTGTCGTTACATCCTAATCCTGAGTCCAACAGCACTTCTACTGTCTTGCTTGTATTCAAAGGACTTCTTGAAAATTGTCTTCTATTCAAGTACAAGATTACACTTTGAAAGTTCAACAAATTCTTTTTTTTAATCTAATCTGCATACAATGGGTTTCAAGAATCTAAGATGAAGCTCTGTGTGAGATAGCATTAAATTTTTTTTTTTCAGATACCTTAATTAAGAATCATGGCTTCTTTTGAGCATATATGATCTAGATAGGGAAAGACCTTAAATAATTTCAGAATGTTGGTTCAAATACATACATAAAACATAACAACAAAGTCTACATATTCACAATTGCACATTCCAGCTGTTTCTGGAAAATAGAGTGCAACTTCAATACTGTTTTAATGTTGCTGTCCTTTGCTTCACAGCATAGAGATCATTAATATCTAGTGTCTTCACCTTCTCTCTTTTCATTTTCTACTTTTTCTTTCAAAAGTAAATGAAGTGTTATTAAAACACAAGGGAAAGGTATCTATAATTTTCTTGACATGTGTATCACATATGACTTTTTTTTGACACTTTGCATCTGGTACGACATTCACAACTGTCACCTATGCTTGAGGTCAAAGATTTCTATGAGGAGTGGTTCGACTTCTTGTGGATTGACTTCTAGAAAGACACGAATGTGGTTCTCATTGAGGATGTTGAGGTGCTTGATCCTCTCTAGCAGCCGGAGGTAAACCGTCCTTCCCTCGCAACCTCCGTACTTGCACTCCAGGTAGCGCTTCAGGAGATACAGGTATGAGCACTGAAATGGAAAGGGAAAAGTGTGACCATACCTGTTGCTGTCTCACTGATGTCCCTCAGATCAACAACTATTTGAGATCTTTCAATCTTCTAACATACAACAAATAATAAAAAAATATGGAAAGCATTCAATACTTAAGTAACAAGAAGTTGAAGTTTATCTATGCAAGGGAATTTTTCATTTTCATTCATTAGTTCAGTGCAACTTAACAGGCAAAAAAAATTCTTGGGGTCTACTATGTTTACATATTTCCCCTGACCACTTTTCTAAGTTAATAACAATAAAAGAAAAAATAATAATATGATTGATATGAATGACATCTAAGCTCAACAAAACCAAAATCACGGGAAGTGCCAAATAACCCACCCGTTCGTGTTTAATAGCATCGCCGTGGATTATGTTAGGCCTCTCGGGTGTGAAGAGCGTGATAGCTGACAAGAGGAAGATGATGTTGTGGTCTTGTCTCCACTCCGGCTGGAACGCCAAGATGAATCTCTTGTGTTCCTCGTAGACATTTCCCGGGGCCGCCTTCAGTACCTTCAGCTTGATGTTCTTGAAACGGTCATGGTCCTGTTGAATCTGTGGGGAAGTTGCTTGCTTAGAGGAATGAAATGACATAGAGGCAGAGTTTTATGTAGCATGAGGGTGCTGTGTTATGGGAATGTGCTGTGTTATACTATATGAATGTGGCAACCTATGTGGTATGATATGTTACATAGTATGAATGTGCTGTGTTATATGGGATGATGTATGTTATCGGGCACGAATGTGGCATTATGTGGTATAATGTGGTGCGTTAAGTCAGTGGTTTCCAACCTCTAATATTATGTAGCCCCTGACCAATATATAATAATTTCCATTTCCCTGTTCAGTGCCTGTCATCCTTTTAGGTTCAGTTCTTAATAGTTATAATTAGTGTAATGGTGCCAAGAGGTATAGTTAAAGAGAACTACATGGAAAGATTCATAATTTTCATTTTACCCCATGGACCCTAGAAAGTATCCTGTGCTCCTCAAGGTTGGGATCACCTGCTTTAAGTGCCATGAATGTGGTGTGTGTGGCAATTTGTGTATGCTTTTTTCTCTCTTGTAAGCTTCTGAGGAAATCAGTTGTACTGTTCTGTGTGTGTGTGCGTGAGAGAGAGAGAGAGAGAGAGAGAGAGAGAGAGAGAGAGAGAGAGAGAGAGAGAGAGAGAGAGAGAGAGAGAGAGAGAGAGAGTGAG